GGAGTGTCGTGGTGTTGGAGTCGAGAACGCTGGAACTGAAACACCCCTCCTGGGCATGCACAAGTGCACGGCAATCAGTGGGAGAAGGGCAAGCAAAGTGTGCGGTGTAAACAAAGGGTTTGGCGCAACAGAATGATGGTAATACAGCACCGGCAACAGGGCAGCAACGCCGCTTTACGGCTGTGTTTGCGTTGTATTCAAAGGGTTCTCTTCTGGGCGCCAGGCAAAGCTCATTCTTTACCCACTAACTAATCTTCCCCCCAACTTGCCCTACTTTTCTTATCTTATTGTGTGTGTGTGTGTGTGTGTGTGTGTGTGTGTGTGTGTGTTGGGATCATACCAATAATTTGGTGGCATGGCTCGTACGTACGCTTTGGAGCCAAGAAGAACGGCTTTAGCATCAATTTGCAGTCCATACCATGCACTGTGCACGCTGTCATATTAGATAGTAGATCATGGTGGGTTCTTCACTAGGTCCGGCGATCCTAGTCGGATAGGGGCGTGGGCGTTGGATCCGATCCGGTCTGGGGCCGCCGGGAAGGAGAGGCTGAGTCAGCCTGCCTCGGGATCCGCGCGGATGGGGGTGGCGGGTGGCACCGGCCCGGCGCAAGTGGCGCCGGCGGAGGGAGCACGGGCCCTGGCATGGCGGTAGGCCGGTACGCAGTCCGAGCTGGCCGGATGCCCAGACCCAATGGGAGTGGGGGTGGCACAGTTGCACGTGGGCCTGGCCGTGCCCGTGCCCGACCCTCTGCCGCGGCCACGACGGCGAGGACGGCCCGGTCCGCCACGTGCGCCCCCCAGCACGTACCACCAGTGCACCAGCCCCAGCCCCCAGGCCAGGCGTCACGGTGGAAATGAGATGGATTCTCTGCTCCCGCATGAACGGGGCGGACGGCGCCTCGGCCGCACAGCCGCCCCATCCGAAATCTCCTCCCCCGTTGTTCTTTTGGCCCCCCGAAAGGCCCAACGGGCGCGCGCATGTCCCCCGCCCGTCCGGCCGGGCGCAGCGCCATGTGGCCGGTCTCGCTGCCGCCGGCACGCCACCGCTCCTCCCCGGCGCACAGCGACGTCCAGCAGCCTCCTCGTCCCACGCAGTCCCTGCTTGCTTACCGACAGCGTGTCTCCGCCGAACCGCGTTCGAGTGCGGCACCTCGCTTTCGTTCAGACCGTAGCGCACGTTCTCCCACCAACAAACCCTCGTTGTTCGGTCAGCCTTTGTCCTCCTCCAGTCTCGCTCAGCCCGGTGGCACGCACCTACGCACGCGAACGCGAGGTCGGACTTCGGCTCCTCGCCGGCCGGCCGTCGACGGCGACCCCGCCAGTAACCAACTGCGTGCGCCCGCCTGTCGCCGTCTCCGTGCGCACGTTGACCGACTGTCCGGGCCGGGCCTCCGGCGGCCTAACCTAACACGCACGCGATGGCCGGGGTTGGTTAGCGGCCCAATAGACCAACACACTGAAGCAGACAGGCTGATTCCATATGCGCAAAAATCCAAAGAAAAGAAAAATATCTACCGAGACCTGATAAGCACCAAGTAATTAACCCCGCTTTCGTTTTCATCGACTTGGAAACGTTCCACGGAACGCGCAATTATTTGGGCCGTGGAAACCCTTGAACTGTAACTGTGCGCGCGCGCAAAAGGGTCGACGAGACAAGCCACGGCAAAGCGGAGCTGACGAACAGCTCTCCACTCGAGCCCCAGACCCGTCGTGGGTCAGCACAGTGTAAACGTACTGCCGCACTGCTGCTACCCACTCCATGTCCCCATGTCTGCATGCTGAGCCTCTCGAGTCTGCCTGCGCGATCGCCGGCGCATGCACGGCCGAGCGATGGATCGATCGATGTGTCGCTTGTCAGTGTTGCCATCTCCGTTTCTTTTACTACGATATCTGTCGACGCATGACGCAGAAGGTTAATTAAGATAGGTATTGGATGGACAGTGACCGGGAGGAAGTGGGTGGGGGTGGTAAAATGATCTTAGTTTTTCAAGATCTGACCCTTTTGTTACCGTCAGGGTCCATGGCGGTAGGGTGTAACAACCTACTGCCATGGACCTTGGCTTTAGGAAACATCCCTACCGCCAAACATACTAGCAGTAGTCTGTATAATCCTACTGTCAAGGTGCTTGGCGGTAGGCACAAGCACGCATTGTGTTTAACACTTAAAAGATTTTGTGGTAGGGCATGTAACCCTACCGCCAGGGACCTTGGCGGTAGGCTGTTAAACCCTACCGCCATGGACCTTGGCGGTAGCAAAAAGGTCATATCTCGAAATTTTATCTATACTATTATTAAACAATCAAACAAGAATTTCTTTAAGCACACCCCACAAAGCGTACATAGATCCAATACCATTACATGATTAGGCCCACTAAAATCAATCTAACGAATAGCCTTAACCTAAACCATTTTCTGTGTGCACTTAGCAATTTACATTGACTGACCGTAATCCACCCTGGAGGAAAATATGAAACTCCACGCCTGAGCAATTAGGAAACTAATAATCACGGGTACATCCTATTCTAGGAACTAAATCAAAGGCATCCATCCTATTAGGAAACTAATCTCAGACAAATCCATCCTATTGAAAAACTTATATCGGACGCATCCATCCTATTAGAAAGCTAATCGCGAGCCGCCTGCCGCCATCATGCACGCTAGCCACGATGGGGGAAGCGCGAGGAGCTTCGTCTTCCTCCAGGAACACACGTGCTATCGCCGCCATCGTCTTCTGCCTGGAGGCCAGGCGCTCTTCTGCCGCTACTGCGACGACTCCATCCACGTCCAGGGCATGCTCTCCGGCAACCATCGGCATCCGCGTTGACTTCAGCTCCGTTCGCAGCACCCATGTCGACAAAGTGTCTGTTCAGTGGGTGCATGTGCATTACATATTAAATAAGAATCGCGGGGCTTCAAGCAATCTAGAATTATAGATTTGGGATTATCTTAGGTTGCCGCTTGCTGTACTGAAAATGTGTAATTATATATGGCACGTACATAAGAATGCAACAATCTTGTCTTATCTATACTACTATTAAACAATCAAACAAAAATTTCTTTAAGCACATCCCACAAAGCATACACAGATCCAATACCACCGCACGATTAGGCCCACTAAAATCAATTTAACGAATAGCCTTAACCTAAACCATTTTCTGTGTGCACTTAGCAATTTACATTGGCTGACCTTACTCCACCGTGGAGGAAAATATGAAACTCCACGCCTGAGCAATTAGGAAACTAATAATCACGGGTGCATCCTATTCTAGGAAACTAAACCAGAGTGCATCCATCCTATTAGAAAACTAATCTCAAACAAATCCATCCTATTAAAAAACTAATATCGGACGCATCCATCCTATTAGAAAGCTAATCGCGAGCCGCCTGCCGCCATCATGCACGCTAGCCATGATGGGGGAAGCGCGAGGAGCTTCGTCTTCCTCCGGGAACACACGTGCTATCGCCGCCATCGTCTTCTGCCTGGAGGCCAGGCGCTCTTCTGCCGCTACTGCGATGACTCCATCCATGTCCAGGGCATGCTCTCCGGCAATCATCGGCATCCACGTTGACTTCAGCTCTGTTCGCAGCACCCACGCCGACAAAGTGTCTATTCAGTGGGTGCATGTGCATTACATATTAAATAAGAATCGTGGGGCTTCAAGCAATCTAGAATTATAGATTTGGGATTATCTTAGGTTGCCGCTTGCTGTACTGAAAATGTGTAATTATATATGGCACATACATAAGAATGCAGCAATCTTGTCTTATCTATACTACTATTAAACAATCAAACAAAAATTTCTTTAAGCACACCCCACAAAGCGTACACAGATCCAATAGCACCGCACGATTAGGCCCACTAAAATCAATCTAACGATTAGCCTTAACCTAAACTATTTTCTGTGTGCACTTACAATTTACATTGACTGACCGTACTCCACCGTGGAGGAAAATATGAAACTCCACGCCTGAGCAATTAGGAAACTAATAATCACGGGTGCATCCTATTCTAGGAAACTAAATCAGAGTGCATCCATCCTATTAGGAAACTAATCTCAGACAAATCCATCCTATTAAAAAACTTATATCGGACGCATCCATCCTATTAGAAAGCTAATCGCGAGCCGCCTGCCGCCATCATACACGCTAGCCACGATGGGGGAAGCGCGAGGAGCTTCGTCTTCCTCCAGGAACACACGTGCTATCGCCGCCATCGTCTTCTGCCTGGAGGCCAGGCGCTCTTCTGCCGCTACTGCGACGACTCCATCCACGTCCAGGGCATGCTCTCCGGCAACCATCGGCATCCGCGTTGACTTCAGCTCCGTTCGCAGCACCCACGCCGACAAAGTGTCTGTTCAGTGGGTGCATGTGCATTACATATTAAATAAGAATCGTGGGACTTCAAGCAATCTAGAATTATAGATTTGGGATTATCTGAGGTTGCCGCTTGCTGTACTGAAAATGTGTAATTATATATGGCACGTACATAAGAATGCAGCAATCTTGTCTTATCTATACTACTATTAAACAATCAAACAAAAATTTATTTAAGTACACCTCACAAAGCATACACAGATCCAATACCACCGCACGATTAGGCCCACTAAAATCAATCTAACGATTAGCCTTAACCTAAACCATTTTCTGTGTGCACTTAGCAATTTACATTGACTGACCGTACTCCACCGTGGAGGAAAATATGAAACTCCACGCCTGAGCAATTAAGAAACTAATAATCACGAGTGCATCATATTCTAGGAAACTAAATCAGAGTGCATCCATCCTATTAGGAAACTAATTTCAGAAAAATCCATCCTATTAAAAAACTTATATCGGACGCATCCATCCTATTAGAAAGCTAATCGCGAGCCGCCTGCCGCCATCATGCACGCTAGCCACGATGGGGGAAGCGCGAGGAGCTTCGTCTTCCTCCGGGAACACACGTGCTATCGCCGCCATCGTCTTCTGGCTGGAGGCCAGGCGCTCTTCTGCCGCTACTGCGACGACTCCATCCAAGTCCAGGGCATGCTCTCCGGCAACCATCGGCATCCGCGTTGACTTCAGCTCCGTTCACAGCACCCACGCCGACAAAGTGTCTGTTCAGTGGGTGCATGTGCATTACATATTGAATAAGAATCGTGTGGCTTCAAGCAATCTAGAATTATAGATTTGGGATTATCTTAGGTTGCCGATTGCTGTACTGAAAATGTGTAATTATATATGGCACGTACATAAAAATGCAGCAATCTTGTCTTACAAAGTAGGATCAAGAGGGATACTGAAGAAGTCAAGATACAGAGTCTATTTTCCATGATTACTTCTCATGTTCATGTCGGCTTCGTTGTGCTTTACTTCGTACCACCATATGCATTAAACTGGACCGTATCAAGAGATAACGCCATCCCCTTGATTAGAATTGCCTTATTTGTGCTATTTGATCAGTGTGTGTTTTACATATGACGTTGCTTTATCTGAAATTAAGGTGGGTTGCACCTGCCTATGCACTATCTCCAGGGATAGGTTGGAAATCAGAATATATGATTCATTCTTAGAGAAAACTTTACACACGTCACTTTAACATAATTGCATAGCAATCCAGTAAATTATGTAAGATTCAGTAGGAGGCAAGATATTGAAGATGTACTACTATTTCAGTTACATGATTCTATACATCTAAAACGGGTCACATGACTCCGTAACTGTTGTTAGAGAATATCTCTCGCTGTTCTGTAAAGGTATGCAATCTCTACTGCGTTTCAATAAAGAGAATTTTACCATACAGAAGGATCCAATGAAGAAACTAATCCGGCTGAGTTCCAATAAATAGATCCTTCAAAGGATCTGTCCTAATACAGCTACCGTATATTGGTACAGAGAAATCATATAAACTGTACTTAGTTGGATTTATTTTGTTTCATGACAGAGAAACCAAATATTTTTCGCTATTTTGGCACATATATTTATTCTTATATACTTGTGCAGTTTCGAATGATCCAACATATCTGCAGTCATCAAACTCGAAGACATGCTGTTTAAGGCCTTATTTGCACCGCCTCTCTTTCTTTGTCTGCACGCCTCTTTCCTTCAATAATAATAATGAAAAACTTTTTCCGGATCAGGTATTACACTGTTACAAATGTATGCTGAAGCTACTCCTTACGACAAGGAAAAAGAGGATGAATGCTTTCTATATTCACCAGTTTTGTAGCATGTTCCAAATTGTTGGCTCTTTCTTATTTGAGGATTCATCATTTTTTTGTAATTTAGAAGCTGACCTGAAAGCTTGATAAGGTTAAGCTTGACAAATACTTTAGAATACTTTTCCTTCCATCTTTATTTTTCTTCATAACTCATTTCAGTTTCTATACGTACAAAACGTCTTACATCATTGTAAGTTAGTATGGTTGCCAACGCATAAACACATACAAAACCGGATAAATTTTTTCTATCATGATAATCATTGGATTTTCTTTTAGCCCCTTTACATTTCAATTAGTTCTTGTAAATCATCTTTATTTTATATAGAAGTCGTTGTACACATATCATCTTCTATTTCCTATTATCCATAGTAGGTAGCTATATAATTTTGGCAGTCCACACAACCAAAAAATATATATAATTTGATCCAAATTAGTACAAATATATATTTTGCTATGCAGATTAGTAGAATAAAATAAGATTCGAGAATTAAGCATCTTGAACAATATAATTGCACTGTAAGGCAGTTTATACTTTTTTCCCTGGCTACACTCGAAGAGAAGACTATACTACATGCCTATATTATTGCATTAATAAATAATTGCTGATTTTATTTAAATGAGAATATTTTTATTACTCTATGCAGCAACATAACCACTATTGTGTCTCGCTTTTGAAAATACAATTTGAGCGATATCAAACATTATGTATCCATTTGATTTATAATTTTAAAAACGTTTATTTTTTTATATTATGTGAATTCACATGTTTTACGATCGAGACGTGCATGATTACTAGTCAGACTAGAATCAGATCTCGAAAAGATATTAGAAAAGGGTCAAAACACGAAATTTAGCCGCGAGGGGGCGTCCGATCCGATCCTCGGGAGATCGGAGCGGATCGTCTTCGATCCGGGCGGAGACACGGCGCGGGCGACTGTTGATTGCCTCAGCTCCAGGGAATATAATCTCTACCCGTCCGATGCCGATGGCTTTGCCAGGTGCGTGCGTGTCGCTGTCTGCCCTCCTCCATCCACCATGCATCAATGGTGGAGCCCTTGTGTTCTTCCTTCCTTTCCATGGCGGTCGACCCATCACGTAACAGATACATACACTGGTACGCGTACACGGGAAAGCGGAAAGGAGGAAGCAGGGGAGGATGGAAAGAAGATATCGCACCACCGTAAAGCGCACGCATGCGTTGGTAGAGAGATTTACAGGATCGCCACACCACTGGTCGCACGGGCGGATTGGATGCATGCATGCACGCATGATCATGTAGGAGTGAAACACTTTACATTCAGGTCTTATTCTGAACCTAAATCCACATCTCTCTGCAGGCTCGCTCTCTGTAATGTACTGTACAGATTGATGAACATATGTTGGTTCGTTCAGGTCTTGTTCTGAACCTTATAAATTTACATCTGTCTGCAGCTCCCTCTCTGCACAGTGTGCTGATTGATGAGCATGTAGTTAGCTGGGTTCGTTCAGGTCTTATTCTGAACTTATATTTACATCTGTCCGCAGCTCGCTCGATCTCTGTAAAGGTTGGTTAGTAGTAGCATGTTGTTGGCTGGGTAGGTTTAGTTGACGTGCGAGCGATGCCACCCGTGCACGTTGTTGGCCGTCGTCCCGTGTGCGGCGGTGGTGGCGCCTTTGCCTCTGGGGATCTTCCGGAGCACGCCGGAGTCCACCTTGGCCAAGTGGGTACGGACGTCGCGCGCCCCCGTGGCCACCAGGTGCTCCACCTCGTGCTCGTACCGCTCGTACAGCGCCGGCACCGTCATCGTGAAGAACACAACTGCCAAAACAAAGATGGTATCATCGTTGCTAGCTCAGTACATTGGATTCTGAAGAATGGGGAGTTTCTGCTACTGAAGGTGTTGGCAGTTGCTTACCGAGGTAGAGCAGGGTGAGGGAGCTGAAGCAGGTCGCGACGACCGACGCGATGTACAGAGACACCACCGTCTGCAGTAGCGTGTGTATGAGTTTATCAGGCTTCAGAGTTGTGGCATAGATCAGATCAGGATTGTTGTGAGGTGGGTTGGTTACCATGATGAACTTCTTGATGTCCTCCCCGCAGGCGATGGCGTACAGCCGGTGCACGAACCAGGTGAGCCGCCTGTGCAGGGCCAGGATCACCTGCTTCGCCGTCCTCTCCGACAGGATTGTCTCAGGGATCCTTGGAACCGGCCTGTGTGCAGTTCACAATTCAGCCCTGAAGCTAATTCTGAAACAAAACCGTGGGACTGAAGAAATGGGGTTTGGTGCAGTACAGGTTCAGGAAAGCGGAGGCGTTGGTCCAGATGAAGAAGGTGAGCATGGTAATCATGGCGGCGTAGCACGCCAGCGTCAGGAAGTGGTACTCCGCCACCTCGAACAGACCCCACGCCGCCGTCGCCGCGCCGAGGATCGACGCCGACACCTTCGGCCTCCTCCACAGGATGATGTCCGCCGCTGCAACGCAACACACACATGATCAGTTCAGAAATCAGAAAACTTAGGCTCGTATCTCTGCAAGAATGTAAGTAGTTTGCTAGCCACCTTCGCGTCCACCCAGGGCGGCATGGACCGGCCTTTCCCTGCCGAACAGCCTCGGCGCCCGGTGTCCCTGCAAATGCGATCCTCCTCCCATTGCCATTTTTGATGTTGGTTTGAGGTTTTCGGTATGCAGCTTGCCATTGAGGTTGTGATTCTTATAACCTGAATGCACAGGCTTGGAAACTTTGGCGACCTTCAAGGGAGAAAGCAAAGCATAGCTTTGGCTCAGGTCTTTGGTTTGATACTTTGGCGTGCAATCTTGTTCAGCAAAAATATACTTTGGTTCCCAGGTGCCTTTTGGAGTTGGGATCTGATCCAAACCTTGCGATTCTGGATTCTGCTGACAGATAGACCCGCGTTCGGTTTCTTTCTGTGGAGGAGACATGCGTTTCTTGCCCTACAAATGATGCATCCTCCTTGGGCCATCAAACACCCTTGGAACTTCAAAATGACAACGATTGTGCATAAGGCCAGAGACCAACATTCACTCGAGTATTTAGGAAGCACCGGACATATGTACATTTTAGCAGTGTTCATGTGAGCACGATCGAGCTCACCATTACGACATTGGATTCTCAGCTATCCTTGCCGGTCATATAAATTCACCCGTGCAACCAAATGTGTCCTAAGTCATTCAACACGGACAATAAAGTTGTGGCACATAAATGGACCACCAACCTTCATTTGTACTGCATAGATAGTGCTTTCGTTTACTATATAGACAACCGATCTTGGTCAAAGCAAACAACAAACTCCACCTCATTTATCCATATTTTACATTTCGGCAGTACAAACTCTTCATTTCTAGTATTTTGTTATAGTGAATGGTGATGGCGATCCACAAAAGCATAAGAAAGAATAGATTGAAATTCGAAACGGTATATGCCCATTGACGATGCGCAGGAGTAAGAGAAAGAGACATGGGGAAACCAACCACGAGGTCTGTATACCAGGGTAGTGGATACTTTGCCTGTTCTGAAACATGCCAGATACGTTCGTGGTTCTCAAACAGGCCGTTTGAGAAGCTGTTAAGGGGGGTGTATGGTTTTGCACACGGCTGGCACCTGCTCATTTTCTCATTTTGGACTGCTTTCGAAAGTGCTTTTCTTTCTCATCTCATGGACTTCTGGAAGATGCTAAGTTGCTGGAAGTTGGCTTGCGGCTGATGTTTGACAACTGCTAACTGTGTAGTTCTCTTTGGTTGGATCCATGATGTTTCTAGCTAATACTCCAGTTGCGGTAGTGTCTAGATCTAGTTGAAGCACCATTTTTTTGGCTAGTTTTGTTTAATTGTGAGTGGGTACTCCTTGAACTTCTGTAATTGTTGAAAGCCATTGTTCATTTAGAAGAAAAATACTTTGGTTCGCAGGCGCCTTTTGGAGTTGGAATCTGATCCAAACCATGTGATTCTGGATTCTCTAGATGGACCCGTGTTTGGTTCCTCTTTATGGAGGAGACATGTGCTTCTTGGCCTACAAATGACTCTTCTCCAGTGAGGGTAATGTAAGTTAGTGCATGCTTCTTGGATTATCAAACACACTTGGAACTTCAAACTTGTAACAATTGCGCGTAAGGCCATGGACCAACATTCAGTCGAGTATTTAGGAAGCACGGGATATTTTAGCAGTATTCATGTGAGCCCAAGCTCACAATTACAACATTGAATGGTTACCATGCTCTTCTAGTCGGTCATATAAATTCACATGGTCTCCTTCTGTATCCCCTGTGTATGTAAGTGTTACCAATAGACAACTTCTACAACCCTATAAACATGCCTATTTTTCCTAATCAAAACAGGCAAACTAGGGTGTGCCGCTCAATGAGCCCTCGTGCAACCAAATAGATAGTGCTTTCCCTTTCTATATCGACAACCCATCTTTCTCAAAGCAAACAACAAAACCCACCATCTCATTTATCCATATTTGACACCCCGGCAGTACAAACTCCTCATTTTCAGTATTTTGGTATAGTGATTGGTGACGGAAATCCACACAAGCATATGAAAGAATAGTCTGAAAACCAAAACGGTGTATGCTGTAGACAATGCGCAGGAATAAGAGACATGGGGAAGTATATACTCTCAGTTCTGAAACCAGCCAGATACTTTCGTGGTTCTCAAGCATGTTGTTGCATAGAAATTAGTGACAGAATAATCTATTGCCGTGGGGAACACAACCATTCGAGCATGTGTTATTAAGGGAGGTGTATGGTTCCGCACAGGGATGGCACTTACTTCAGCGTAGGATTGCATGTGTGTTTCTCATTTTGGACTACTTTCTTCTGTTTCTCGTCGCGTGAACCTCTGGGGAGATGCTCAGTTGCGGCTGATGTTCTCATTTTGGATTGCATGTGTGTTTCTCATTTTGAAGTAGGCTTGCGGCTGATGTCAGGCAACTGCTAACGGTAGAGTTCTCTTCTTTGGTTGGATCAATAGTGTTTATAGCTGATACTCCAGTTGGGGTAATATCTAGATCTAGTTGAAGGGCCTTTTTTGCTAGTTCTGTGTAATTGTGAGTGGGGACCCCTTGAACTTCTGTAATTGTTGAAAGGCATTTTTTGTTCAGGAGAAAAATACTTTGGTTCTCAGGTGCCTTTTGGAGTTCGGATCTAATCCAAACCTTGTGATTCTGGATCCTCTAGATAGACCCGCATTCGGTTTCTCTTTTGTGCGTTTGACGGCAGCGGCGGAGGCCGCTCCTCCTTCTCGGGCTGTAAGGCGGCGAGGGCGTTAGATCCGTGGAGGTGCGGCCTGTTCCGAGATCCATGACGGCGCAGTGGCTCCTGCTGGAGGTGTTTGTGCGTGGCCGGTGGTGGCGGCAGTGGCGGCCGGCCTGGATCCGGTCTTGGCAGAGGCGGTGGCGACTCCGGCCCGAATCCAAACATGGCGGTGGCGGTGTCCCCTCCGCCGGGGATGACGGGCCAGATGGTAGGTTCTTGTGGGGGCGGATCTTGGGATCCTGCACCCGGGGACGTCGCAGGATGCGAGTGGAGGTCGAAGCTTCCTCCGGCATCGACGGCGCTTGATGCGGGACCGCGGCGGCGGTTGTTGTTGTATGGGCAACGACAACCGCTGGCGCGATGGTGGGTGCTCCCTGTAGAGCCCGTAATCGGGGTGGCGGACCCTTTTCATCAACGGCGGCGGACTTCGGGATTGTGTGGGCGATTCAGAGTCTGGATCTCAAGGTGGGGCCTTCTGAGGCTGGTGGCGGCATGGGACGTCCCTTCCATCAACAGACCGGGTTCAATGCGGCTCGTCGGGTTACACATGTGCCTCTTTCGGAGTTGTCGGGCGGTGCCTGTCAGCGGCAGTTGAAGCCACCGGTGGATGTGCTACCGGCCGATGCTACGCATGGCGTCTTATATGGAGACGTCAAGTCATGCCTACTACTGGCAGGTGATGCACGGTGGCTCTGATGGAGGTGTCATGTTTAGCCAGTTCCTGTCAGATCCAAGGTGGTGCGACAGTAGCGGGAGGTAGGCGGTATGGGACGTCTTTGTCTTCCGTTGTCTCCTCAAGAGGTTTTCGGCTATCGAGGTGTCAGTAGACAGATAAGGACGGATGGTACAGACGGCTTCAACGACGAGTCTCTGATCAGACTATGTCGTCGCGCGCCTGTGTCGTGTCCTTGCTGAACATAGTGGATTGAAGCTTGGCTTTGGGGATGAGAATCCGTAGTTCAATCTTGTGGTGGACTCGCCATCATCGGTGCACGTGCGGCGATCCCTTCTTGAAGGCGCAACCTAGGAGTATATTTTTTGTTTGTGACGTGTCTTGTATCATAGGGATTAGTGGCTATCTGGGCGAGGTACTGTCGCAAGATATAAGGCCCCAGGGTTTGTTTTTCGCTTTATTTCCGGGTCAATGGCGTTCAGCTGCTGGATTTTGCACTATTAATAATATATGGCTGCATGCATCGTCCTGATGCAGAGGCCGAGGGTTATCCTCCTTTTAAAAAATATATAAATTCACATGGTCTCCTTGTGTATCCCCTGTGTATGTAAGTGTTACCAATAGAATTAAACATATCAAGAGTATTTACCCTGCAAAAAATAATAATATCCAGAGTATTTTGAAGTAAACAACCACAATCCTATAAACATGCCCACTTTTCCTTTTCAAAACAAGCAAATTAGCGTGTGCCACTCAATGAGCACCGTGGAGGCAACCAAATGTGTTCCAAGTCATTCAACGTTGGATAATAAAGTTACAACAAATAAATGGGCCACCAACGTAAACTTCATTTGTACGTAGATACAGCTTTTACTTTCTATATAAACAAACCATCTTCCTCAAAGCAAGCAACAAACTCCACCAATTCATTTTTCCATATTTTGCACTTCGGTAGTAGAATCTCTTCGTTTTTAGTATAGCGAAAGGTGACATCAATCTACACAAGAATAAGAAAGAACAGACTCAAAACCGGAACGGTATATGCCGTTGACGATGTGCAGGAATAAGAGACATAGGGAAAGAACCTGCCACAAGACCGGCGTAGCGGATAGTATCGTTGATCTGAAACCGGCCAGATACTTTCACGGTTCTGAAACCAGTCATTGTTGCATTGAAATCAGTGAACCAAAAATCTACTCGTGTGGAGAGGAAAGTGGTTCAAGCAGGTCTCAAGGGATGCGCATGGTTCCGAAACAGGGCTGGCACCTGCTTCAGGCGTACGATTGCATATGTGTTTCTCGTTTTGTATTGCTTCTGAACCTGATTTTGTTTTTCAGTCGCCAACTTTTGGCGAGATGTTAAGTTGCCAGCTGTACACTTGCGTCTGATGTTCGATGACAGTTGACGGTGGAGTTCTCTTCTTGGGTTGGATCACTATTTCTAGTTGATAGTTTGGGTAGTGTCTAGGCCTAGTGAAGGGGGCCTTTTTGTGCTCGGTTTTGTTCAATTGTGAGTGGGAACTTTTGTAATTTTCTACTTGCTTGATTTTGTGCTACGTACAACCTAAGCCAATGGTATGAACATTGAGAACAATAAGACGGTTATTCTTCTTTTTTCTTTCTATTTGCTTAGATGAAACGTAGTAGCTAGTGTCTATTGTGAATACAATTCTGGTGTTTCGTAGTATTTTGAAGAACCATTAGATTAATCATTATGAACAATTTACCTGTGCATACTTGTATGGTCCATCTAGTGTGTAACTGTGTATAACGTCCATCTACTTGTGAAGAATGAAATATGAACAAAATCTTTCTTTTCGTAAGCTGAAATCTATACGGTCCATTTATCCTCGGCATGCTTCCTCCTCAATCTCCCGTCCACCATGATTCAAGTTCAAGACTTGGCACTGTATTCATAAATTTGCCAAGTGTATTTGCGTGTACGTGAGCATCTATATTTGTACTGTGTTTTAAAAAAATATAACTTTTTTCTCG